ATACTGATTAACTGTGGCAAGGAGGTTGTAACATGGGGCAAAACTCACTTAACCACTGTCTCACTTAACAACAGGGCTCAATTTTGATCGTAAGTTGAGGACTACCTGAATTTTCAGTCTCCCCTTCCCCCCCCCCACCCCCAAAAAAGAGAATAGATCCTTTAATAAGCGAGATCTTTCCTGGTAGGGCAGCTTTGATTATACTACCTGAGATTATACTACCTGAGATTATACTACCTGAGATTATACTACCTGAGATTATACTACCTGAGATTATACTACCTGAGATTATGCCACCTGAGGCTTCTCAGGAAACAACAGAATGAAAAACTGCTGGTGACCTTCTACCGCTGCACCAGAGAGAGCATTTTAACTTACTGCACCTGTGTCTGGTTTGCCAATTGCACAGAGGCAGATAGGACAGCCACTCCAGAGGGTGAAGGTCATTGCCCAGAGGATCCTGGGTTGCCCTCTCCCCTTTTTGGAAGAGCTTTATAGCTCCTGCTGCCTTAAGGAAGTTCAAAACATCCTCAAAGATCCATCTCATCCTGGGAACCCCCTTTTTTTTGAACTATGACCATCTGGCAGACGATACAAAATAATAAAAACAAGGACAAGTAGGCTGAAAAACAGCTTCTATCCCAGGGCAGGAGCTCTGTTGGATTCTACTGTATAGTGCAGCGTTGGTGTGCTGTCGTTGGTTTCCAATTCAATGTGTGGAGGGTGAAGGATGTGTGTTTGTGTTTATTTTCATGGTCATGATGTGCCCTGAAGATGGTGCTTGATTTCATTGTACGAGCTGCAAGGACAATAAAGTAAAAGTAAAAGTAAACTGTTCCACACCTACACTTATTTTTTTCCTCTGTCTCTCCATTTTTTTCTTAACACGCCTCTTTGCTGGAAGTTTTAATAAAATCGGTCCCGGATGACCCAAAAAAGGGGCCCATATACTTACAGGCAGAGGTTCCAAATGGGACGCCACCACCTCAGGTGCTCCGGAGACAGGTGGGGCCTCCTCAGAGCGAGCTGCCAGGAGAAGCGAGAAGGTGGCCAACACCACCAGCAAGCCGAGCCAAGAAGCCTTCATGGTTTGTTTTCTTCCCCCTAATCCTGGACGACCCACAAACTCTCCTGGATCGCAGGCGTTGTGAGCGCCTCCTCGGTGCTTCTCACGCTTATATGGGCCTGCCCTGATCCCTTTGGGGTTGGTCCACCGGAAGAGAAGTTCGCACACAAAGTGTCACAACCTCCAGCTCCGGCTCTCCCTTCTGGCCTGCAAGAAATCATGACTCAAGGTTGTCTTTGGAGGACCCCACCCTGGCAGTTTCGACATCCAAGCTGACAAATCGTTGTTTGCGAAACGTGACGGGCGCCGAAAATTATTTTTGTGCCCTGCCAAGCCGTCTCTGCCCGTCTGGGTCTCGCCCTTCAGGCCCTCCAAGGATGGGACACGGAGGAGAACATGAGACCATCCCTGCTCAGTGAGAAGATAAGGAGATCCTTCTTCTCTAACCATCCTTTGGCTGGAGAAGAGGAAGCGGGAAGTAGGTCGATGTTCACGAGGACGAAACGTGGACGAAGTTTCCCGGTGAATCAGGGTTTGTTGTGTAAGCTGAGCTAACCGAACATCTCCGGTGTCGTAGATTCAACCCTGGTGACATCGGAAGGGCACTTGTGGTTTTCTTAACAAACCTCTACGGCAGGGGTGGGCAAACTTTTTGGCTCGGGGGCCTCATTGACTTTTAAAATTTGACAGACGGGCCGCCACCTGGTGTCAAAATGTCTGTCATTACAAGTCAAAATCAAATGAATGCAATCATTCAATCATTCACATCAAACCTTAATTCTGTACCAATCTTTGGCGGGCCGGATTAAAAAGACCAACGGGCCGGATGTGGCCCGCGGGCCGTAGTTTGCCCACCCCTGCTCTACGGTGTTATGTTCATCTGAATGCTTTTGCTGGCCTCATAGGCAGTTCTCAACTTACAATTGTTTGTTTAGTGCAGAGGTCCCCAAACTTCGCGACTTGGACTTCAACTCCCAGAATTCTCCAGCCAGCATAGCTCTGGATGATATAAATCAACTTGAAAATCTAAGTGGAACTTCAACTCCCAGAATTCCCCAACATGGCCGGCAGGGGAATTCTGGGACTTGAAGTCCACAAGTCTTAAAGTTGCCAAGTTTGGGGACCCCTGGTTTAGTGACTACTCAAAGCCACAACAGTGCTGAAAAAGTGACTTATGACCAATCCTTGTGCTCACGACCGTCTCTGCCTAACCCACGGTCCTGAGTTCAAAACTTGGTGCACTTGGCAACTAGCCTCACGGTCAAAATTCGGACACTGGCTCGCCTTTATGGCGGCTGCAGTACGACGTCATCACCATTTGTGACCGTCCCAGCTGGCTTCCGACAGGAGAAAGTGGGATTCATTTAGCGACTGTGTGATTCACTTAACGAGTGTGGTGACTCACTTAACGATTGCCCTACTTAGCAATAGGAAGCCCTGATTCCAGTTGTTAAGTTGAGCCCTGCTTATAATAACTAGATTCTGCCTTGGTTCCTTTGAGGCAAACCATGATTAGCTACGGTAGGTAAGTAAGATGTAACAAATGTCTCGCTTAAACAACAGAGATTTTGGTCTCAGTTGTGGCCATAAGTCAAGGATTACCTGCCTAGGACCCGCCTTCCTGCCTCTCGGGGTGTGTATGTGTGTAAATTCACACAACCCTCTAGGCCTGGTTTCCTTTCTGGTTCAGGCATTCAGTCATTGTTGCCTTGTTGGTTGTTGAGAAAATGAGAGTGCCACATTTAACTCCGGTGCTTTTTGTGTTGAATGTCTGTTGTTGTACTGCAAGTTGTTAACGCAACTCATTGTAAAAAAAAACCCAGGCTTTCTAAACCTGGGGCCTTCCTGCCATTTGAAATACCTGAAATTAAACACACCCTTTCTGTTTGGAACAGGTGACGCTTCCATTCTTATTCCCTCTCCCTCCCTCTCTCTCTCTTGTAGGTGCAGCATTGTGTAACCTGTGTCATTTTAGCCCGTGGCCAGTATTTGCCTCCCTCTTGATTAAGGGCTGGAGCAACTTGAGAACCATTCTCCTCTCAAGGTCACTGAGTAAACAGACCAGCGTCTTTCCAAAATATTATAAGCAACCCTTGACTTACGGCTGTTCGTTTAGTTACCGCTCAAAGTCGCCCTGAGGGGAAAAAACTACCCGGGAGTAAGGCAATTGCCACGAGGGTGTGTGGCTGGGTGTTTCCCAACCCACAAAATCCCAGAGGCAAAACAAACGCAACTCCGCTTCAGAAGTTAAATTAGTCTTCCGGGTTGGCTAATTATCCCGAATTACCAGAGGATGATGGAGTTTTGAAGACTCGCTAAGCACGTTTCGAAAATATAATGCAGGTAGTCCTCGACTTACGGCCACATATTGAGCCCAAAATTACTGTGGTTAAGTGAGACATTTATTAAGGGACTTTTGCCCTGTTTTATGACCTTCCTTGCCAGTGTTGTTAAGTGAATCACGGCAGCCGTTACTCACAGGGTCGTTAAGTGAATATGGCTTCCCCCCATTAACTTTGCTTGTCAGAAGGTCGCAAAAGGGGATCATGGGACCCCCGGGACACTGCGACTGTCATAAGTACGAGTCAGTTGCCAAGGATCTGAATTTGTGATCACAGGGATGATACAACAGGAGCAAGCGTAAGAAAAAACGGTTGTAAGTCCCTTTTTTTCAGTGGCGTTGTAACTGAGAATGGTCACAAAACGAACCGTTGTAAATCAAGGCCTACCTGAACTCGACTTAAGCCACAGGAAAATACAGCTACAGGGTCTTTCACACACACACACACACACACACACCCCCCAGATAACCTGGATCTGGCAACTCCTGTTCTCCGAGGAGATTATCCTGGGTGAGAATCGTAGAAGGATTTAGTGGGCACCAGATTGGGCTTATCTCACATTTTAACTATTAGCTAAATAAGGATAAAACTCTGTGGAGAAGGTGAAAAAATCCTTAGGAGAAACAAGAAATAGCAAAAAATGAAATTAAAATTTAAAAAAAGAGGAAGAAAAAAAAAAGAGGAAGAGAGAAAGGAAAAGAAGGCAGGGAAATAAATACGATGTAATCCTTGATTTGCAATGATTTGTTTAGAGACCAAACGGCACTGAAAGTGACTTATGACCCTTTTTCACTTACGACCAACCATTGCAGAATTCCCCCCACCTCCCCGTCACATGATCAAAATTCGGATGCTTGGCAACTGACCTGAATTTATGACGGTGGCTCATGCGATCCCCTTTGGCGACCTCCTGACAAGCAGTCAATGGGGAAGCCCAGATTCACTTAACGACTGTGTGACTAACTTAACAACTGTAGTGATTCACTTAACAACTGTGGCAAGAACAGCTGTCAAATAACTGTCTCACTTAGCAACAGGAATTTGGGGTTTCGTTGTGGTTGTAAGTAAAGGACTATCTTAAAAGATTGATGACTTCACAGTTCAATTGGGAGCCATCCACACAGCGCCCCCCCCCCAAAAAAAAGGGGGGGGCAGAAAAAAAAGACACAAAATTCTGCATTTTCCAATCGAGATAAACTCAAGTGACAAAATTGGACAGCTCAAACATCAGAGAATCGCTCGGAGAACATTTTATTAGATAAAAAAAAAAGACCAAACTACTCTCACGCCAATCAACCTTCATGTGTCACATACACTTTTTGAGGTCAGACAGCCTGGAGAAATCTAGAAATCTGTAAAATAATGTCTTTCTTGTAACCTGTAGCTGGCTGGGGAATTCTGGGAATTGAAGTCCTCACTTCTTCAAAGTGGCTTAGACTGAAAAACGCTGCTTTAAAAAAAACATGATAAACTTGAGACAATTGTTGTGTGACTGACATATTCGTCGTTTTTTCTCTTGCTACGCACCTGTTTCTTAAATCTTTATTATCTGTCTGATGGTTCTTAGCTTGTTTGCTTTCCCCCTTCCCCCCCCCCCCTCAAATTATTCTATAATTTGAACTTTGGAAATCATAAAAAAGTTAAAAAGAAAAAAAATGAAAGACAAGGATCGCCCATCTGCCTAGCAAGTCACACGGAAGAGCAATGCACACGGCCCGGATCACATCCTCCCACCTTGCTTGCGAGGCGGAAGTTTCCCTGGGTTTTGAGGTCCACCTCTGGCATTGGGAAAGCCACTCCTGGCCCCAAGAGGAAGGAGAGGCAGCAGCCAAGCCGAGAGACGCAGGAACATGGAGTCCATCTTCTCCCCGTGAAAGGAAGGCAGGAGGAGAGGCGTGTCTGAAGAAAGCCTCGAGGTTTCCTTTGCCAGCAAAACGTGGTTTTGGGGCTCCCTGTTGGTTCGGGGAACTCAGATCTGGGGTTCTCGTGAAGAAGGGGGAGACCCTCCTTTTGAGGGACCCCCAAGGAATCTCGTTTCTGGAAGGCGCCTCAATCCGAGTCACTGTCCTCCTGCTTGGCCAAATCGACGGCCGAGGCCAGCTCTTCCTCCTGGCCTTTCAGACGTTCTCCTGCAAAAGAGAGAGAGAGAGAGAGAGGAGGAGATGGGCTTCATGGAAGGTCAAAGGAGCCTCGACAGGGGTGGGCTTCAAATTTAGTGGCCAGTTCTCTGCCCAGTTGCTGGGTGGGCATGGCCTAGTTGGCCTCAGGGGGGGGGGCGTTTTTCCCCTTCCAGAGGCTCTCTGGGGGACGGAAATGGACCAGTTTCCGGCCTTCTGGAAAACCCAGGAGGCCCATTTTATGCCCTCCCCAAGTCTCCACGCGGGCCCTGCACTTACCTGGGACCCAAAACGGGCCTCGTGGAGACTCCAGGGTGGGAAGGGCCAGCCAATCATGGCAATTACCAGTTTGGCGAATGAGATGTAAAATTAACCACCGGTTCGCTCGAACCAGTGTGAACCAGCCCAACCCTGACCCTCAAAGCAAGGGGCCCACCCTCCTGGGCAGCTGAAGCATCCTCGCCAGAGGCTTCGGTGCATCCAAGAAACCCCGATTGCCCATCAAAAGAGGTTCGTCCTTATCAAAAGAACAGGGCAACCAGCCACAAATTTCATGATAAAGGTAGTCTTGACTTGCAACAGTTCATTTAGTGACCGTTCTTCATCATACTTGTGACCAGGGCAACATCCCTGTGATCACCTGGTCAAAATTCAAATGCTTTTGCTTGGCAACTGGCTCGTATTTACGACAGTCCTGGAGAGTCAAGGGATCTCCTTTGGCGACCGTCTGACGAGGAAAGTCAATTCACTTAACGACCGGGGGATGGAGTAGCAACTGCAGTAACTTAAGTTTAAGTTGAATCACTTAACAACAGTGGAAAGGAAGTTCGTAAAACGGGGAGAAAACTCACTTGTCTCACCTAGCAATGGAAATTTTGGGCTCGATTGCAGTCAAAATTGGAGGATTTCCCGAACTTACAAGCCTGTTCCAAAGTTCTGATAGCTACATCTCCTTATTATTACTTATGTGATCACAATTTGGGCCCATAGTGAACCTGCATTTGTGGCCATTTGCGGCATCCTGGAGTCACGTGATCTCGGTTTGTGACAATTTTGCCATAAAAACAGCATTTTGGCAAAAACACATGTCGTATACTGCGGGGGTTTGTGTTAGGTCAGTAGTCTTTTCTGCAACAAAAGGCCATAAAAATGGGTCTGGCCACATGGTGTCCTGCTTTACAACCATAATGGGAAGGCTCCATTACGGTCTTAAGTTGAGGACTATCTGTATCATGGGGTGGAAATATCCAAAGAATCAGTAAAGGAGGAGCAAGTGCCAATGTTGGATGGGAAGGAGGGCTTGTCGGACACAGAACATGGGCTTTGCTGTCTTCCAAAGAGCGGCCGTTGTCTTTCAAATGCAGATGAGTTGCTGCCTCTTGTCCCAATGGGTTTGTTCTCCTATATGGCGCCACCCATTTGTTAAGGGATTGTGATGACCCCGTAGTCTCTCAAAATAACCCCAAACCCAAACCATATATTAAAGTCCGGTAAAGCCTTCAACTTAACTTCACTGTTTTATTGGGCACAGTTTAAAGTCACAAATGTAAATAAGGAGGCAAACAGAAAACCAAAACAAACTGCGTTGACGAGAGTTCCGAAGCAAGCCGAGATAAACTCCATTATAAACTCCAGGAAAATAGCCGAGGAGAGTCCATGGGAAGAACGCCAGCAAAGATAAGCCTCTTTCAAGGTGTAAATTGACTCCAGCAATTCTAACTGCGCAGTTGCAAACTTATATACATAGCTCCCACCTGCAAGCCACGAGGAGGATCATGGTCATCTCCTCTTGAGTAGACCTCGTTTTTCCCTGATCCCCTCCTCCCTGCATGCCCTAGGATGGAGAAGGGATGGGCCTGGGTCCTCCTCTGACTGCTCACCCGGCGTCTGCCCTTCCCCAGCCTCCTCCACCACCTCTGGAGCCACACTCTCACTCCCTGTCGGCTGTTCCTCCTCTCCCTCAGAGTCAGGCTCCACCAGGGGCATGACGACAGTGATTGTTTTGGTTCACCAATGTACAGATCTGCACTATTTTGACCCCGAGGACACAGATAAAGCTCCAGGGGACCTCAAGGGCTCCCTAAAAAGGATGCAAATGACCAGCTTGGTCTGCAAGGAGCAGAAATCCTTCCATTCCCCACCATCCAGCCAGAGCCGAAGAAGCTTCTTCTATGAGAAGTGAAATGTCTTCAAAATTAAAAACAAGAATGTCCAGCGCCTTTTTAGGACTTTTGGGGGGGGGGGAAACGAATGACAAAATGACCCGGGCGCTACCACGTTTCTACCCCACGGACCAGACTTACGTATCAGCTCGGCAATGGCCCTCTGGGTCCGTTTTTCCAATTTTTCCAGTTTTTTGGCCACATCCCGCTTCAGGTCCCTGGAGAACGAGAGAAGGGAAGAAATGAAGTGAATCAAAACTCCGAGAAGGTGGGGGTTGGACTAGAAGACCTTCAACTCTGTTATTCCCTATCAGCCATCCAATCTTTAAATGCCAATTGAGCTCAGAGCTAAGATCCTAAGCGTAACCTTCCTCCTCTAATTGGAGAAGAGCAGGCAAAACCAGTGGTGTGTGTGTGTGTGTGTGTGTATGTGTGTGTGTGTGTGTGTGTAAAGGGGAATCAGCCTAGAATCGCTATATAGCCACAAAGAAAACGAGTCCAACCCTCCTTGAAGCCCCTTATCGAACGCCTAGCAAGGGCGGAATAGCAGTCGAGGGAATTCCTGCGCACGGGCTCTCAGTCATGAATCCGTGGAGATTAAAGATTCCCTCCCGGTGCATATAGGTTTTTAGCAATAAACCGATGTAGCTGAACCTTCCAATGCACACAAAGAGCACAACTGCCGCACGGCAGACACAGGAAGTTTGGGAAGACCTTTAAAAAAAAAGCAAATTTTGTTTGCATTGTCCGTGGAGATAAACGTTCCTACTCACCAGTCCGGCTTCCGGGGGGCGAGATTGGCCAGGTCCTACAAGGGACAGAAATAAAGGGGAGGGGTTAATGAGGAAAGCTCCGCCCCCCCCCATCCCCCCCTTCTTAAGAGTCACTTTTCAGTAAAAGGACCTTGCTGGTCCCGTGGGAGGCGGCCTTACCACTTCTTCGATGATCAGCTCTGGCTTAGCTGCCTCCAGTTGCTCCTTCACTTTGTCTTCCACTGGAGAGAGGAGGAAACGGGTGATGTGAGAGACGTGGAAAAGGAAGGGGGCGAAAGGGTGAGACGTCCCCTGTCCACTGGGGCCCCCGTTGGGGTTTGTTGCCCGCCTGAATCGAGCCAGCCCCCTGCAGGTGGGCGCCCTCCAGGTCTGGGAACCGCAGGACTCAGCAGGAGGGGAAGGAGGGAAGGGAGAACTTCAGGGAACAGATGCCGGAGAGGAAAAGGACAGCAACCCAGGTTGGAGGTAGGACACCAGAAAGGCCCTCCAGAAGGAAAAGTGGGTCCTAGGGGCCCCTTCAGGGTCCTGGCCTCGCAGGTGCCAGCTACCTTGGCCTTAAGGCTCAAAGGAGGGCACCTGTTTGGCTTTTCCCCCCTGGTACAGGAAAGGGGAAAGTGGAGGA